GAGAGAGAGAGAGAGAGAGAGAGAGAGAGAGAGAGAGAGAATCCCAAGCAGGTTTCACATTGTCGGTGCAGAGCCTGATGCGGGGCTCAAACTCACGAACTGCGAGATCATGACCTGAACCGAAATTAAGTCAGACACTTAACCAACTGAGACACCCAGGCACACCAGCAAGTCTATTTTCTTACCTATAGTAATTGTATCCATTTCAGAGACCTGAAAAGAGGATTAGATGAGATAATGGGATTATCTGAGAAATAAATCACTTGCCTAATAAATGCTCAATTAATAGGAGTTGTTACTCTGAAAATCAGAAGCCCTGACACAGGCAGGTGGACCAAGTTTGCTTTCAGTAACTCTAGCCTCTCCTCTCTGTTCTTCCAGATATTATCTTTTCACCAAACCCCAATGCTTCTAGCTTTAGGACTGCTTGCTTGCCTTTCTTTTATTTTATTTTCTTTCTCTTCCTTCCCTCCCTCCTTCTTCTCCTCCTCCTATATAGACAACAAAGTATTTGACATCGTCCTTACACTCACTCTAATCTTTGTTCTTATACTTCCTGAAAATTAAAATTTGCATTTTAACCAGTCTTACTGTAGAATAAAAGACTTTGCTCCAGACAACACTGGAGTCAGAGAGGTCTGGTTTCCAATCCTGGATCTAGGACTCACTTTGTGACTTCAGGAAAGTTGCTTAACTTCTCTGAGCTCCATCTGTAAAAGGGGACAATAAATAATACCTCCTGCATAGTGGCACTGAGAGGATTAAGTATAACGCATGATATCACTCCTATCACTGTGTGATGATGACACGGGTTTTGGAAGGCTTCCACCAAGGACAGGCCTCCTTTGGCCATCTGGGGTAAGAAGGGCATGTATGTAACTAAGACAGGAGGGACAGTTGGATACTTCAACCAAATTATTCTCACTTCCTTTACTCAACTTTATTCTTTCTTTCTCTTCTTATCTTTCTGCCCTTATATCCATTCCACAAATACTTATTTTTGTCTGGCACTACAGCAGTAAACAAAGCATGCCAGAAATTGGAAACTGGTATCCATTCTCACTCATACCTACTCTGCTTCCAAACCTCCACCTCCAGCCTGGATATCTCCTACATTCTTCTCTTGTCTGTCCTCAGTCTCCTGGCTGTTTCAGGACCTTCCAGCACTCAGCAGGGGTATGGGTGAGGGCAGGAAGAAATCAGGTACAGGAGAAACCTATGGGATAGGAGTATGCGGATAAGATCTAGAGGACTTCAACTTGTACGTGGCGAAGAGGCACAGCCACCAAGTGGTGAAATCCAGCACCTCATCTTTAGAAGTACAACTCTGGGTGTGTTTCCCAAGTGTGCCTAACTACCCTATAAGCCCAGTAATAATTGTGTTGTAGGAAATGCTTGCCCCATGTTTTTCATGGTACATTCACAAATGCCTTTATTGAAAGTAAAATAAATAAATATTTGATTCAGGAAATAAGTCTAGTGGATCCTAGTCCTAAACCTGCAATGCAGTCACTGTGTATCCTGGGCAAATCATGGGCCCCAGTTTTTTGTATCAGTATTGCCTTAAATTATACTGTTATGGTTTTGACATATGACCACCAATTATTTGAAACTCTGCTAAGAAATGGAGCTTAATTCTCCTCCACTTGAACATATTGGGCTAGATTTAGTGACTCACTTCTAATGAACAGAGTATGAAAAGGGAAACATAGTTTAGAATGGAGAAACCTAAAGAACATCACCCATATAAGTAAATGAGGTCACCATCACCGGTAATAAGTCATGCTGATATCACATGCTCCCTGATAGGATATGACAAGAAGGGCACAGCACCTCTTTGTGAATCTTACCCCAAATCCACAATCTCCATCTATCCCTAAGAAAGGATTGGACAAATCCAGAAAAATTCTACAAAATACCTGATCACTAGTATCCAGAAGTATCAAGGCCATGAGGGACACCTGGGTGGCTCAGTCAGTTAAATGTCTGACTTCGGCTCAGGTCATGATCCCACGGTTAGTGAGTTCAAGCCCCAAGTCAGGCTCTGTGCCGACAGATCAAAGCCTGGAGCCTGCTTTGGATCCTGTGTCTCCCTCTCTCTCTCTATCCGCCCCCCCTGCCCCCCCCAAGCTCTGTCTCTCTCTCTCAAAAATAATTAAACGTTAAAAAAAAAAGTATCAAGGCCATGAAAGACAAAGAAAGACTGTATAAAGTCAGAGGTTATAGGAGACTAAGGAGACATTACAACTAAATGCAGTGTAGGATACTGAAACAGAAAAAGGTTGTTAATGGAAAAACTGAAGAAATCTGAATCAAGTCTGTACTTCAGTTAGTAGTACCAATGCTAATTTCATAGTTTTAACAATTGCACAATGGTTATTTAAGATGGCAATGTTAACATTAAAGGCTAGGTGGGTTAGGCCATGGTTACCCTTGAGGAGCCAGAAGGCAGAAAATCAATCTTGGAGAGACAATTGGCCCATAGGCCTGAATCAAAAAGACCTGGATAGCCCCACCCATAACATCTTGAATGAGGGACCAGTGGTTACTTTGAGTCCTAAGGAAGAAGCCCCTCTGAGGAAGCAAGGGTATCATTTTTATAAAGCCCTGATATCAAAGGTAAGTAATTTTGAATAATTTATTTTTAAAACTCCAAAAGATGGAACATAAAATTCTTTTTTGTGAATAAAAAAAAGTTTTTCAAATATAATTGTTTCCGTGGCCTCCAAATTTGTGAAAAAGGAGAAAGGTAACTGTGATACCCAACAGAAACTATGAATTTTACAGGGAAAAGAGCTTCTAAATCTAAAGTTAATATAAAAACACATCGCTATAATAGCATATAAGAAAATAAACTATGGAGGGGCAAAAGGAAAAAGAAAAAGATATGTACAACTATCAAAAGGCTTTATTTAATTAAAAAGATAACATTAACCAAAAATTGTAGAATTCATTATGAAAAACAACTTCACTAAACATGCAATGCCTATCATATCTACAGTGAATTTTCCAGGTAATTTTTTTTATCCTTACTTACATAGCAGATAATGTTAATGACAGTTTGAAGAATATTTCTCATTTGCTTTTTACTTTAGATACTGGCCTTTTATCTCAGTTACTACCTTTAAAATCATCTTTTGGAGCACCAAGTAACAAGCCTGACCTGGTGAATAAGCTGTTACCACTAAAAAGATGTTCCACAACTGTCCTCCCCATCAGAAGGAGAATCCAGAAAACTGGAAATGTGCCCTCACGGCAAGGAGTAGATCACCTATGTCTCTAGGCTGGAAACATAAAAGTATACATAGAGCCTGCTCAATGATCAAAATGCAACAAAACAGGTTGGAGTGTCCAGTACGGTAGCAAGAGCTATAAGAAACAATGGAGCAACAGCTCCTTGTGAGGTGATATACACCTTGCCCCAGTAATGGACTGTCATGATGAATGTCTTAACTATGTCAGATGTTTCCAAATCACTCCATTATTTCCCTCTCTACCACAGAACTGACCTAGACACGGAAGATTTGCAAAGCAACAGCATGCTTTATTTAGTTGTGAGACAGACAAACAGAACTCCTTTTGAGTGGAGAAATCTGGTTCTGCTTTTGGATACTACCTGTCTCTGAATTTTGAACTCTCAAGATGTAAAGTGTTAGATCGCTTTGGTATAGATTTCATGATACTCACTTGGACCAAGGAATGGCAGAGACATCCTTTAAAAGCAATATGTTTGCATTTGGTTCATTTAACATAATAAATGTTTATTTTTAAGTTGTGAAGAGAAAGTCTGGGGTTTAATGAGATTCTTTGTTGAAAATGAGCAGCTAAGATTTGTAAAAAAAAAAAAAAAAAAAAAAAAGATTGTTTATAGGATAGACAAAGGACGGCCCAAAGGCAATTTAAACTCTAAAAACCAAGTCCTTGACTGATATTTGCTCCTTAAAAAAAGAAAACAAACAAAAAATACAACAGGTCACATTGCTTGCTGTATCCACCCAGAGGTACAGATTTTAATGAATAGGAATGAACTTCTGTGAACTCTAACTCAATAGTGAATGGTATTGTCCACTATTTGCATTAAAAAGGAAATAGACACAAACTCAAGATGCCCAGTGAAAGTTAATGGATTATTAAAAATCATACCTACCCGAAGAGCTTCTCTGAGTTTAGGTTCAGATATGCCAAAATATAACACTGAACCTCTCAAATAATTTCATAGATATGTATTGCCAAATAAATTTTAAGTTTCACTTTAAAACCTGGAAGTTATTAAGCCTTATAGAAATCCTGGGAAAGTTTCTCTCTGTTATTGTTGGAAAACTTTCCTTTTTCAAACACAAGAAGGAAGCAGTAGTATAATCATGTATGCATACATACAATGCTCAGCCCTAAGAAGTGATTAATTGTGAGGTCTTTACTAACACAGAGATTATAGACACCTAATGCTAATCTCCCACATCTGGTTATTTATGTTACAGCTTTCTGTTTTCATCTCAAGATGCATAGTTAAAAAGAAACTCCGGGATTCCTTTAGGATTATTTTTCCCCCCAACAAGTAGACAAAATGAGTCAATAATAAAAATGGATTTTAAAAGTTGTAAAGCCATCAAGTTATTTTCAGCAACAGGGTTACCTGCACACTGACCACAATGACCAACGATGTAGCCATGGTAACTGCAAAAGACTGGTAGTCAGCAACGTGCTGCCCATCATCTCCGGCCACATTGTAAAAGGCTCCATAGGGTATGAAGAAAAGGGCCAATGAGGTGTAGATGCCATGTGCCATGCAGATAAAAAATTTACGCTTGTTAAACAGCAGATTGAGCTGTCCAGGTTCATAGAGCTGGGGATAGTCCATGCTGTTCTGGTCATCCACATCCTGTCAATAAAGTGTTACTTCAGTGGAGAAGGCTTGAGAAGTCAGGGAGGCCCTGAATTCGCCATCTCAGGAAATGGCAAGTGCAAGTCTAAGCATACCCTAATAAACACTATTAATTAGCTTGCTTTCATTCCCACAATAATACAGAAGATAATAAAATGATCCCTATTTTACACAAGAGGAATTTGAGTCTCCGAGAGTCATGAGAGATCATATAGCTCTTATTGCATAGCCAGAACTTGACTTGCACCTAGATCCTTAGCTTCAGACTAAAGTTTCTTTTCTCTGCTTTCCTACAGCCACACTCACTCCCAGAATGCTCTTGCAGCCAATGGGGCTCAGGGGTTAATTGCCAAGTCAGTGAGTGGTAGTGACCAGGAGATGGCAGCAGAGAGCCGCAGAGTAGGACCTGGCCAATCTGAGTCCCCAACTGTGTGACAGGAGGAAGAGCAGAAGGGAAACAGGGAAAGGGGGATTGGGGGAAGGTGGGGGGGTGGGGAGGAAGCTGAGCCTGAAGAGCTGAGTGTTCTACACAGTGAGGATTCCAACACCGGCTGTTTGACAGAAATAATGTAGACAGAATGAGAAGGTATGTGTGGCCCCAAAAGTATCTTGGGAGAAATTAAAACAGTGCTTTTCAAACTTAATATGCACATAAATCATCTGGGGAGCAAATGATGATTCAATAGGTTGGGGGTAGGGCCTGAGACAGCATTTCCAACCAGCTCCAAAGTAATGCTGATGGCCAGTGAGCACTAAAGCCAAATGCCCAAACCAAAAAGGATGGCAAGGCCTGACCACCGAGGACATCAGAGGACCATGAGTAGAGGAGAAGCACCCAAAATGGGAGCAACATAGGCATGAACTCTGGGGGCAGACAAGGTTCCCTTCCCTGCTTGTGGGATGGCCCCAGCCTTGTTGAATGGGGTTCTATGATGAATACTGACATATTCTCTTTAGGAGGTCCCATTTTGAAATGCTGCTGGTACTTCCTTCTCTAGTCCAGTGACTGGTCAAATGACATTCAGAGGCTTTGAAACCAGAAAACCCTGAGTTCAAACCCTAGTTCTGCTGCTTAGCAGGTATATAATCTTACACCCATTATTAACCTGTCTGAGCCTCAGTTTCCTGATCTCCAGACATGCAAACAATAGCACCTCCCTCACAGGACCACTGTCATGATTAAATTCATGTATTCAGCAGAGTCACTGCCACACCATAAGTAATAAAAAAAAAAAAAAACACAGATGCTTCTATAAATAATAACAAATAAAATAATGTTATACAATAATAATAGCATAGCAATCTCAGACTCAGGTGGCCTGGCACTAGGCTGAGTTCTGTCACACACCGGCTGTCTGGCTTTAGGGCAGCGACTTGAGCCTTGGTTTCCTCCTTATAAAATGAGCAGATCATAGGTGATCATGGAGGCCTTACAGCATAACATTTCATGATCCTGTGATCTATGTAGGGGCCAAAGTTGACAAAGTAAGAAAGGAGAGGGGCAGACACTTAACTTGATGGCAATAAGGGGCCTTATTATATTTTTTTTAGAATTGCACAATAACCATCTTTTCCCAGAAACTGCTTTATTTTTATTATTTTATTCCACATTCTGGGCAGCTACAAAGCACTGGGAAAAGAAACGCTTGTAAACACAGGCACTTGGAAATGAATGTGCTTAATCCTTTACATCTAAGGTCTTTAGGAGTTCGTTATGTTTTTATAGAATTCCACAAAATATGTTGTTCACAAACTGCCCTTTTTACATACAAGAAGTGAGACAACTAACTACAAAGGCACAGAATGGGAGGGTGGAGTGAGCTCACAATGTGACAATTTATATTTTGAAATAGACAGATTTGAGCCAGAAAAATGAGGCCTAGCAAACGGGTCTAACAGCAGCCTGGAGAAAATCTGGTCTCTTCAAATATACTTCCAAAATAATTTTTTTTTTAAATAATACATTCTAATTGTGCCATGGAAACTCCTCTGGCTAGCCTTCCACTTCCTCATAGGCAGCCAGACTTCTCCCTTCCAGGAAGTACCTTCCAAGGCAATGAGTATGACAAGGATCCACCATTTTTGTAATTGATTCCCTCTCCTCTCAAGCAATTTGAGCTAGAAAAAAAGACTATGTCCCTTCTTTCCATGGCTGTGGGGCTTCATGTCTTCCTCTCCCATTGGCAGGGTATTCCACTGACCTCTAGTTCCTGTTCTGGGCTGTGCTGGCCAAGGAAATCTCACCACAGATGCTGGCCGTCTGCAATCCAGCAGGTTCCATGATTTTCTATCACTATGTGGTTCTCTGCATTCAGAGGCTAATGTAGCATTTCCCAGCATGTGAACCACAAGGCACTAGTTCTGAGGCATATTAATAGGTGCTATATGAAAAATAAATAAATAGAAGTAAAGTCCTATAAACCTGGGAAATGCTGGACCAACATAAAATTAGAGGCCATTTCATGTAGGATGTCTCAGAGCCTTTAAAGCAATAATGTGGGGTGTGAGTCTCAAAGAAAAGAGTAGCCAAACTTTGATCACAGGACCGTTTGGGAGATGTGGGGGATCTGGAAGGGTTTCTGATCCACGCAACATGTATTCAAACAACTGAAATTCTAGGACTTTCCATGACTTGTGTTTTCTACTTAGAATCTAGAAACAACTAAAAAGCATCAAAAGAGTAAAATAAGTTATAAAGACAGAAAAAAATACATACCTGGTCAAAAATCCCCATGGCTAAAACAGGAAGTGATGTGTAAACAATGTTAAAAAGGGTAATGAACCACTGGTCGTAAACGGTCTAAAAAGAAATAACATGTCAGTGAGAAACACCATTCACAGAAGAATATTCACTTTTAGCCTCTTGAATTAAATATCTCAATCTCCTGCGATACATGAGAGTTAGATATTAGCAACAGACAGACATGTGTTCTCCCCTGACTCTGTCTCTTATCATCCCTGCTGTCTCAGTAGGATACTAGATCCCTCTAAACTTCAACTTCTTCATCTTTAAAATAAAGCCACGCTCTCCTTGCACAGCTACCATGGAGACGAAAGGAGATCACATATGCAGAACACCCAAGACACCACTAGACACATAGAAGGCCCTGGCCCTGTGGGGAGCTATTGAATTCTTCAGGTTCTCAATGGCTTTTATTTAAAAAAAATTTTTTTTAACGTTTATTTAGTTTTGAGAGAAAGAGACAGAGTGTGAGAGGGAGACACAGAATCTGAAACAGGCTCTGAGCTATGAGCACAGAGCTGGACGCGGGGCTCAAACTCATGAACCGTGAGATCATGACCTGAGCTGAAGTTGGACGCTCACCCGACTGAGCCACCCAGGTGCCCCCTCAATGGCTTTTAGAGTAAATCTAATGATCTGATCTAAGTGATAAGTAAAGGACCCACTAAAATATTCAGAGGGAGATGCAGAAATGAATGTGTCAGCCCTACCCTGTGTTCAAATGGAGAGTTTTTTCTTGGGAGTGGTTTAAAATAAAGTGGGAATGGAGCTAGCTGCTCAGTATACTGGGTATAAACGAGTTAGACAAATAAAATACCCCATACACTTGTACAGAGTACTTCCTTGCATGAGCCTCACTGAAAATTGGTGAGGCATGTGAAACTGTTGTTGTATTCCCATTTTGTTGAGAACTACACAGACATGTAGAAACAAAATGTAGTAAGTATTGTAGAGCTTATCACTGGAAAAGGCAAAACCAAAACCTAGGTCTCCAGCTCCTAACCAATGTCTGTTCTAGCACTCTATCATACATTCATCCATCCATTCACTCAATATTTATCAAAAATCTATTTTGTGCCAGGTGCTAGGTTTTAGGCAACGGTAATTCAACATGCTATAATCAGACACAAATTCTTCATAAAATTTGCATTCTAAGGGTGGCAGAAAACAAGCAATAAACAAGCTATATATACATATATACAAGTGATAAATACTAGAGAAGAAAGGCAGATAGGAAAGGTAGATAGGGAGGGTTGTAATTGTAATAAGGTGACTGGCAAAAATGTCACTAAGAAGTGACACTGAGAAAAGATCTGGTGAAATAAGGGATCTAATTATGCAGCTTTCTGGGACAGGAGCATTCCATACTACAAGTAGATCCCAGGAGAAATCCCCAAGGAAAGATAGCATCTGTTCAGAGGACAGCAAGGCAGTCCAATTGGATAGAGAAGAGTGAGTGATCTATAGGGAGAATAATGGATGTCAAAGAAAGAAGGAGTTGGATCCTATGTAGGTAACTATGGCTTATTCCCTAAGTGAAATGGGAAGACATTAGAGAATTTTGAGCAAAGGGATAACCTGATCTAATTTATATTTTAACAGAATCACTCTGGATGCCGTGCTGAGAACAGACTGAAGAGGGGCAGTGGTGGAAGCTGAGAAACCAGTTAGGAGACTACTGCAGAAGCCAGATGAAAGAGGGAAGTCAGGTGACCAGCAGGGAGAAGTGCTGAGTTTTGAATATATTCTAAAGTACATGTTCTTCTTAGGGGAGTTCAGAAAGCAATGAGGAATCTTAAATGCAATGTTCTGGACAGAGGACCTAAAGGTAGTTTCCATATAGTTATGTAAATAAGGCAATCCATTAAGTTATGTCCTGTGTGTGTAGATTATACCAAAGAGAGAATATTTTGGTTTCTTTACTGCTAAATATGGATTTGGACTACCCTATCTTAGCGTCATTGTTTATTCTTGAGATGGGTGTATATTTATTCAAGAGAAGGAGAAATGAAGGCCAATTTTCAAAGGCCAAATCTCAACCTGGACTATTTTGCTGAAGTTCCACAGGTGGCTTTATTCAACACTGAATAAACCAAACACTGAAATATATTGATTACTGTTTTCTGAGCAAGGTTAGCCCTGTGGGAAGATGTAAGGACCATGGACATTCCTGCTGTCAATCATCTTGGAGAGAGTTCAATGTCAGGGCAGGAAGAAAAATGAGAACAGAAAAGAGAGAACGAGGAGTGAGGTAGATGAGAGAGGAAAGAAACTGTTTTATTCTTTGTGTGTCTCAGAGTTGAGGCCTGGGATCCATGTAGGAAAGATCTGTTCAACATCATTCTTTTTGAGGTTAGGTCAAAAATAGGCAGAAAAGTTGAATTCTACCACCAATAAATAGCCAATACAGGATTTAGATGAGACAGCATCATTGAGGACTGCTATCAACAAGAATAGGGTTATGACTCAGAATGGCCACTTCTAATTACCAGTTATTAAGTTCTCTAATTGATCATTTACTTTCACAATCCTTTGAGTCCTGGTAAACTGTATTCTTTGAGTCTGTCTGAACTCTGCTCTAAGGATTTGAAAAGGTGTCCTATGTCTAGTAAATATATTAAGTATTTAACAGCAGGCTCTTAAAAAAAAAAAAAAAAGGCCCAATGTGGAGCATTTGCCAATTTCCATGGTGTAAATATTTCTCCCATGGCTCTTTATGCAGTGATATCACTTCCATCATATATATCCGATAGACATAAATAACCTCAGCTGCATAAATAGTAAAACATGGTAAAATGATTAGAAAGTGATGAGTTTTGAGGATTGATAAACTTTGTTTCAATATTATTTATTTATTTATTTTTAAAATTTACCATCAAGTTAGCTAACATACAGTGTATACAGTTTGCTCTTGGTTTGGAGGGTAGATTCCTGTGATTTGCGGCTTATAACACCCAGTGCTCATCCCAACAGTGCCCTCCTCAACGCCCATCACCCATTTCCCACCTCTCCCACTCCTCCCATCAACCCTCAGTTTGTTCTCTGCATTCAAGAGTCTCTTAGGTTTAGCTCCCTCTCTGAAACTCTTTTTTCCCCTTCCTTTCCCCCATGGTCCTCTGTTAAGTTTATATAATTCAATTTTTAGTAATAGCTGTGTTTAAACACTGGCTCACATAATTTCTCACAACTAAACAATTATCTTTATGAACCAATATGGACCAGTTCTAGCATACCCCAGCCTATGTCCACGCTTGGAGCAAAGTAACACAGAACACCAACAGCCATCTGGAGGATCGCAGACTCAATGTGGCAAAAGAAAACCTGCAGAATGGCAGGGCAGTAGCCCAGAGCTTCAGACAACCATGAGAAAAGAATGGAAGAGCTAGCTCATCATCATTCCCTGGAGAAAAGAATGGAAGAGCTAGCTCATCATCAATACCCTAACCCTCAGGGTATTTTAGCAGAGGTCTCCGAAACAAGCCTGGGTTTACGGTGTTCAGTGTTCATATAGGATGAGGGCATGTGCCATACAATTGATTTATAACAAACTGCCCACTGAAGATAACGAAAAAAAGTTGAGAAAAAAGAAAGCAAAGCACATCTCTATCAAAACATCAATGAACTAACAATACAGAAGGAAACTGCCTGTTAAGATCAGGGAGAGAATCAGAACTTAAGAACTACTTTAAGGTCTAGGAAAATGTTCTCTTTCTCCAGAGACTGTTTGCTTCCTTCTAGCAGATGCTGAGGATAGAAGGCTTGATGTTTGGGGGACCAGCCAGCTGTCCTGTCATAGTGCAGCCTGTGACCCTATTGCCAAGAGGCTTCTCTTGGGTCCCAGCCCAGAGTGCAATGTGTTTCATGAAGATCTCTACCCTTGATGGGCATGAAACTTGTCCTTCTAGTCCTAGGCAACAACCAGAAACAAATGATGATGAGCTTCTCAGCTGCCTCCTATAGACAGACCATCAACACTCCCAGGGCCTGTGGCTCAGAGCAGTACACACTTCCAGACACCCAGCCCAGAGCGGGAATGTTAACAGGGTCCCACACACCAACTCCTATCTACCCTGAAAGTCCACCAGAACTGTTGCTTGGCCTCTCTTCGCTTTCTTCGGATGAGCAACAATTCCACTTCTAGATACACGTTCAGAATATCTGCCTTCGTGTACCAGGAGAGACAAGAAAATGCTCATAGCAGCACGGGTCATAATAGCCCCAAACCAGAAACAACCAAAACATTCATGAGGAGTGGAATGGAGAAAGACATTGTGGTATATTGATATAATGGAATACTATAGAATAGTGAAAAGCAAGGAACTACACCTATATCACACACACACACACACACACACACACACACACACACACACACACACACACCACAAGGGGCACCTGGATGGTTCAGTTGGTTAAGCGTCAGCTCTTGGTTTCAGCTCAGGTCATAATCTCACAGTTTGTGGGTTTGAGCCCTATGTCAGGCTCCATGCTGACAATGTGGAGCCTGCTTAGGAATCTCTCTGGTGCGCATGCGCACTCTCTCTCAAAATAAATAAGCTTAAAAAAATACAAATGAATTTTAAAAATATAGAAGGTTGAGCAAAAGAAGCCAGCCAAAGTATGGTTCCATATTAATAAAATTCAAAAATGTGTCAGTCTACTCTGTGTTGTTTAAGGATTCATGCTCATATGGGAAAATTTTAAAACAAATCAACAAAGTGATGATACAATGTCAAGGTAATGGTTATCTCTAAAGAGTTGAAAAAAGAGTATAACTGAGAAAAAGCAAGGGGAGCCTTGGAGGTTTGGCAAAGTTCTGTTTCTTGAAATGGATGATGGCTACATGGGTGTTCGTCCTACAACAATTTGTTAAGCTGTCATTTGAGTATTACACACTCTGTGGATTCATTATATTTTACCATAAAAAAGGAAATATGTGGACTTTTGTTTTAGTCATTACCTGGTGATACTTTGGACACTGGGAGGATTTTAAAAATCCTGATGCCCATATCACACTCCAGGCCAGTTCATTCACTGTCTTTGAGGGGTGGGATGAT